TTACAATGATACTATTTCAGGTATATTGTCGTGCTCGTTGTTTCTCGTTTTTGCTTGTTCGTAGTAACGATAATCGCAGTTTGCGACGAAACATCGCAACGAAAGTGAACACGAGCGACAGTATAGGTATAGGCGATTTTTATCGCCACCTTCGTATCGCGGTGCAGCAGTCGATTTTAATCCGCGTGCACAACAAAGCCGCGTTCCTTGGATCGATGAACTTATCGACTCGGTCCCTTTATGGGTCAGTCGGAAATGTCGTCAGAGTCAGTGGCAACACGCCGGAGAGACTAAGGCCATCAGATACATTCGCGGATATAACGTCTATCTCCGTGATCCTCCCGAGTATAAAATAAAGCTTCCGAGATAAAAATTGAAAAGTAGCTGGTATTTTTGTAATTCTATATCACGCAGGTTCTCTTTTGCGTTATAAATAAGCCACCTAGCTTGTGAATCGTCGTGTCTCGGTTGATACCGATCGTTACCGACGCATAATTTACGAATATTTATTTATTATTCGCGTGTACGCTCGAACTGTTGATTAGAATTTAGTTCTATTTTTCTTCCACTATAAGTGTCATTCAGCTCTTTCGTTCATGTTCAACGAGATCCATGTTTCTGGAAGTCCCAAAGTTCGGCAGTCAAATGTACGATAACTGGTTCGTTAATCATATTCAACTCCTAAGATATGCACATGTAAATGCTTTCGTCTGATAAACGCATGGAAGAATGTTTCGTTCTCTTTCAGAGCCAACGATGACTGAACAATGGACACCGATTGTTCGAGCAGGCCGAAAGTTCGATACGATTCAATTCTCGAAGCTGACCAATTTGAAGACACGACGAAAATAAACAAATTCGAGTTATCGACGTTTTCCCGAGGTTTCCCGAGGTCTGGCATATGGGAAATCTGATCGGACATGAATTAAAGACGAGCCTGGCATTTGCAGATAGAATTACCTCCGTTCGTATCACCAAGGCTGCATTGCGTGTCCGCGTTCGATTGAGACACGCGATCCTTTTTCGCGCGAATCCGACCCAATTCAATTCGTTTCGATCCAGCTGGAGCCCCACATGACCGCTTATTTTCAGCTCTCGTCTCTCAAGTCGATCATCACCGCTGAGTTTCAACGAACGACACTTTTAAAGAGTATTAGCAATTTGAATTTGAATGGAATGTAAGTCCCCTCGAGATTTCTCGACGCTCGAAAATAATTGCGAATTTTACAAAATGAAATGCTAGATTTATCGAACGATTTATCGTAGAAATCTGTCGTTAAAAATGTCGAGACTTTGGTAATAATTTTGCATAATTTCTTAATATCCGAGGAGATTACAGAAAATAAATCGAGACATTCGAAATCTCCGAAATTGCTCTGAATCTCAAAATCTCTCAAATTTGTTGAAAAGCAAATGAAAATTAAGCTATTGTGAACGAGGCGTAAACATGGAACGGGCACACATGGAAAAATTAAATTTTCCACGTGACGTGAGCCAGGAGTATCGCGATAATCGACGCAATCATCAACGCATAATCCGCTCAGATATATATTCAGCAGATACGCTCATTTCGCAAGACTGTGTTTTTGCTGCTCTTGCGAGCGCATCGGGGTAATGGCTTGGAAACAGTTACTTAATATTTTGCACGCTCGGTTGGGCCATTGAAGCACTCCGTGCGAAGGATAGAGTTTAGAAGCGGCGTTTGAAAAATTGCGCGAGGTCGATAAGTTTCTCGAGTTAAGAATGAAAAATTGCTCGACAAAAGCGTCATCTTGTCTCGTGGAAACGAATACCACGACTACGATGGAAAATGTGAAATCGCTAGTAAAAATTAATAAATTGATCGTAATACACACTCGCAGATTGGTTATTATAAACTCAAATTCGTGAAAGGTGTTTGCAATTTTTTTATTATTTAGACTAGCTTTCAAAGAGTTAATTTTCTTCCAGATTTAAGATTGAAGCAACACACATTTTCTAGTATAAATGAATTTGATTAATTAATCGGGTTTTCTTTTACGCGATACTCCCACGAGTGGAAAAAATAACGAGAAATACGAATATAAAAATCATTATTATCAATCATTTCTAAATATAAAATAAATCATTTGTGTGTTTAGTAAATAAATGGGACCCTTTATTCTTAATGTGGCCTTTGGCCTTTCTGTGTACTTTCTAATTGCTATATTTATAAATTTCTAAATAGGGTAGGCGAGGGTAAGCAAAATTCTGCAGAATTTTACTTATTATCACACGTGGGTCTATATATTCTGTTAAAGAATACTTGAGGTATGGAAGTACCACGAAGCACTTGGTCGACGTGTTCTTCCAAATTAAACATTACTCACTAGAGATCATAAAGAGATGTGTGGCTCCTGGTATTCTTCACCAGAGTTGTTCGAATACATTTCTACTTTAATTTCTACGAGTATCGAAATGTCAAAGTTATACCTATACACTACAAACTTTTACCCAGTGGTCGAGTACCTGCCTGTGAATAACGTCCACCTTGTAGACACTTTCACCAGAATCACTCCTTTCGACTGTCATATCGTCGTCCTGACTACCGCAGAAATGGCCAAAAAGTCCTTTTCCATTAACTACATTCTGAGAATAACGATCCATTTAGAATCAATGTTGGAAAATAATCCATTACTTTAGGGACTTGCTGCAAATGAAAAACTGTAAGATTCAGAAAAATTTCCACGTTCAGAGAAATGATAGCGAACTCCCGTTTCTAAGAAATTAAAACAAGTTTCAGTAACAAGGAAACAACTCAGGTGTATCGGAAAGAAGACACTAGAAAGTAAAACACTCAAGAGGAAAATTTCAATAATTACAAAATACAGTGCCGGGACATATGAAAAGGGAATCTCAGAAATAAAGAGAAAAGAGTGTACGAAGGTGTTAAAAAAATGCGATATCCATAAAGTACGTAATGTACTATCGTGATTCGAAGAAAGTAATAAAACTAAAGTCGAATGAAACGAGGAAATCGATCATCAAATTCTAACGCGCTCGAGCATTAAGTGCGTATTTAGGCATTAAATGGCAGGAGCTCGTACGCCGGATAAAAAACTGAACCGTAAAATTGCTTGTGCGAGAAATATGACGCGATATGCGCCGACTATGCAAAATCGGGGATAAGCACGGACACCGAAGTGTTTGCTCTCGGTGGTCGGAGCGTGTCAGCCTGGTCGTGCATCGGCTCGCGCGACGCATCGGGGGTTCATCGGCACTAAATGCAGATCTAAAGTTAGAGAGAAGACCGAAGAAAGTTTCGCATTTCCGGTTCGCAGGCGCAACATCATTAAAACTTTATCAATGACGCTACGCCGCGAGGTTCGGCCGCACTCACCGCACGCCGGGCATGCGTGTTGCGCGCGATACGCGCGGCAAAGTCTAATTATTGATCACCGACCGCGCGCCGAGCCACGTGAAAAACAGGGGACCTTTGTTTTTCGGAACGGTCGGCCATCTGTCTGGCATTTTTCGCGATACGCCACGATAATCACACGTTCGAGGTATCGATAATGTATTTCGTGAAACGGTGGTCATATTTTTAAAGCGACGCGCGTTTAAAGAACCAACACCTTACGAAGTAACATCGCGTTATTATTTAATTGGTAACACTGGAAATTTCGTTTCACGTATTGGGGAATATTTTCTCTGGGCGAAAGTTTCATTTTCCTTTGAAAAATTGAAAGGGAACGAAAGGGACGTTGAAATTTCCGCATACATATGTGTGCATAGTTGGGCGACTTTGAATTCTCGAGTATGCGCAGTTGACACGGTACAGAACACGAATTTCGAAAGTTGTTTTCGGCGATGTGATTCTTTTTTAGGTTAAAAAACGTGTATTTTGTTCAGTAATTATCCGATTATTCGCATATCTGTATTTGTTACAGCATTTACATATTAAATGCGAAACAACGAAAACGTAGAAACGTCATAAAGAAGAAAATAAGGCCATATACAAATACTTTTTCGCAGTCTTATTGACGTACGTAGACTTATTGACGTGCCAAGCATTGAAATGAAACACGAATCTGATCAGAATCGGATCTGAGACCCGAGACTTCCATTGTCGTAAATTGAAAAGACTACGCAAATTGAATACCCTATTGTTCAGATAAAAACAATAATCATGCGGCAGGTTAATCAGAATAATTCCAGTAGGTTTCCAGGAACGCAACAAATTGCCGGCCATTCTTAAGAATGCGCATAATTTGCGTTACACATTTACTACACCCGTCTGGATACCGGTCCCAATTCTTGTCCCCGCTGTTCCATATTTATAAACGGGGGAACGGCGATAAGATAAATAATAAGTTGCCGGGGCGATTAACGAAGAAGAAATGGTATAAATCGTGCGGTAGTTTTTTACGTGCAGACGGAACGCGAAGGTCGCTTTTGTGTCGCTCACGATGGCGGTTTTATTGTCAGGGAGGAAGCGCGAGGCTTCAAGCAACACCGCGCGAACAGCTGCGTTTTCGTATTATGCGAAGCTCCATTGTTTGTCCAGCGACATTATCGTCGCTGTTGCTGCTTGTTTAAACGCTACTTCTTTTTCTGCCGAGCCAATTTTAATGGCTCGTATAAACGTCGCGAGTAAATCACGAAACGATCTGGCCGTGTAACTTGGTGTTGTACGAAGGAATCACGCGAGGTTCAAGAGCACGCGTATGTCCCGTGTTCAACACGTTCACTGCCAGACAAAACTTGTAAACGTTTGCTTTTGATTTTTGATGAAATTTTACGTCACGATGAACGTGCGTAAAGCGAGTAAATGAATTTTCATTTATGCGATGATATTTCATTGTAAATGATAAACGAATTTTTATTTTATAGTATCGTTCGATTATTTGAACGATGATATTTCGTCGTAAAGTATTTACGTGAATAAACAAAAAAATAAAGACTGTGAAAATGAGTCTTTATGAAAGTAAAGACAAAGAATGGTTACAAATCGACTTGTTAATATCTAAGAGTATACTCACCGCGTTTCTGACTGACAGCCTGAAGATGAGCCGTAATTATGGCGCATAGTTTCTCGCATTTGGTGGTAAGGTAATCTTTACGACGCAGCTGCCGAACGAGTATCTCGCCAGTGTGATTAATATGGTCGCGCAAGTTCAGCACTAAAACTCGAAGCTCGTGCTCGCCTGAAAAGAACGCAACGCGAGTTAGCACGAGACGAGTAAGAGAGTGTCGGGGTGGAGATAGGAGGGAGGGGGCGGAGAGGTGAGGAATTTTTAATCTCGTGAAAGTTATATTCGAGATTGCACGGGGTTATTTCGAAATTGGGAGTCGCGCGTTCTCTGTACACATTTCGTCGCGGATAAAAGGCGAGACACTTGCAGGAACCTTTGGACCCGCCTTGCAATCTTGATAACGGCTCGAAAGGGCTCACCCTCTGTACACACCGTCCGAAGATTGAAATTTTCCAACCCTTTCGCTCATGGTTACCGCGAGCTTCGGTGAAACGGGCGCGCGGTCCCTCCGACTGTCTCTTCTCGTCATTCCCGGCACGCGTTCTCGTCTTCGCGAAAGTCTTTGGTAACTCAGTTAAATTACGTTAACTTTTGCATGAAAATTGAAAGAGCAAAAGTTGACCGTACGGATCATCCCTCGTAATAGCTAACGAGCTTTGAAAGGAATTTTCGAATAATCGTTACGTGTCGCGAGTTAACTACGGAGTTCGATGTTCTCACTTGACGTGTCTCAGAGATAACGATAAAATTTCACCGGTCAAATATCTCTAATTACTTGTTACAATGAGTATCGTTTTAATTACTGATTACTTTGATGTTTCTTCGTGGGTTTTAGCTTAAGATACCTGCAATCTCTCCCTTGGTATATTTCCCTATGCATGTTCAACGAGGCGAAACGAAGCAGCATCGTGTATAGAGATAAAAGAAGTGCTTCCCCCTTCGAAAGAGAAAAAAAAAAAAAAAAAGAGAGAAAAGAAAAAAGTAGCACTCCAAGTCAAAGAACCTTCTTGCCTCGAAGTCAACGAGGTCGCTCGTCTGTCTCGTCTGCACGACCTCTTGTTTCGTCAGCTTCTGCCAAAGTATCTTCGCCTAATTCGGGTAGATTTCGAACTTTGCGTGCGCGAATATCGCGAAGAAAACTAACATTATTCCTAACTAACATCCTCCTCGTTAAAGCGATGGAATTTATTTGAAATTGCAGTTTCATCAAGCGTCAAGCGTGTTATTATTTAGACGGAAGTTGGTATTTTTCTCTTAATGAAATGTTTTTCCACTGGAACGTATCCAACCATACCATTTTTCCTCCTTTTATTTTCAAGAGTAGCTGCTGTGCTTCTGTGGCAGAAATATGCTTTACAATAAATGTCCTCGAGCTAATGTGTTTATCCACCACCCACGGCCGCTCTATTCTTCTCCCCTCCTCTCACCCTTCAGCCCCGACTCTTGTCCAACTCTTATTGAATTACGCTTACTTTTCCACAGCAGACGCGCCTTTTGCAGGTGCTGATGCTGCGGACGTATCCTCAGGGATGAAGCTGTCGAGTCGCTATCCGATCGTCTTCTGTCACCGTCTGGCATCCCATATATTTCTAGCAATAATTGATCAACTAAAGAAGACACAGCTCCTTTCTTCTTTTCGGGTGGATTCGGTAACGGTGATGGATACGTCTAGACGGAAGAAATCCTTATTACACTCTTCGTACAGATCGGACAATGTAATTTCGCTATTATCTTCAAACGACAAATTTTCTATGTTAATCCTCGCGCAACGAAATCATAAAGATATTTCCGTTCGACGTTTAATATTCTTCAAATCGCAGCGATTATTTCTATCTTTTCACGTACATGTGTCATTATTATAAACGAAGCATTTGAATCTTTTCGAATTGATTTTTTGTAGCCTACACTTTTTTTTGAAAATATAAGCGATATCATTTTTTGAATAAATTTAGTTGCTAAGCAAGTCGTCGACCTCTCGAATAAAATAATGAATGTTGGATCCAGTCTCCATTGCGCGAGAATTAATGAATAGACATTTATCCATATAAACGATACCTTCGGCCTATAAATGTCACTCTTATCTTCCACGTTGTTAGTATTTTTACAATCGTTCTCCATCACGTCCCACGCGTCGCCCACCGATTTCGATCTTTTCAAACATTTTCCCTCTACTTTGTCCGGCACGCAACTGGCCCTTCTGACCTCCTTTTTCCGATTCAGTTCCATGAAATCCGGACCTTTCCATGGCCTGTGGATCAGATTGCGTTTCCTCTTTCTGTACAACGATGGAAACTGATAACCATCCGCGCAGTACAGTAAATTTCGTGTCTGTTGAGTGACGTACACGTCGCCAAACACGCGCTCATTCTCCACGGCCACGCATTTCACGCGGTAGCTAATTTCCGCATACTTTTTCAAAGGCATCACGTTGCAGCTCATGGTTGCACCCACGTGACCAGTCGTTAATTATTTATACTTTAACGAGCTCGCCGAAACTTTTCGCGGAAACACCGAGTTTGCGAAAGAAACTTTCGTACGATTGTTTCATCACTTTCAACGATGGGATTGATTATTCACCGAGTGTCGATAATATCGTCCCACGTTGGCATTCGGAATGTGTTTACGTCCGGTTCGAGAGCAAAACATTTCACGTTTGAATGGAATTCGCATGTGACAAGATGTTAGTTTTTTTTTTTGGTTATTAATTTACAACATTCGACAACTTCAATGCGAAAGTTCATCAGCAGAACAGTTAAATAAAAATTGTACGTTTCTCGTGATCTGTAAGATTACATGTGGAACTTTGTCTCATTTGACAAATTTGTTGCTACTACTATATAAAATAATTTATCAACGCGTAATTAGTTAGCTCATAAAATTTTACGAGTGATACGTCCTAACTTCGATTACGCAAATCGATTGGTTCGTGTGAAAAATCGATGTACGAAAAACTAGATATTCCTATAAACTATAAACTATAATATTCCTATAAACTATAAACTATAAACTAACTATAAATTTCCATTCTTTGTCACTGCTAATTGAAATAATGATTGCTCGAAATAAACTGGCAGCGATTGAATGAGACACAAAGAGACGCGTACAGAAAAGAAACGTAATAAAAAATAAATTGCCGCACAATACTTCTTTGACATTAACACGAGGATGTAGATAATGGACGACCTTTCTCGCAATTGCAATTATCTAACATTTATCATTTTTTGATACGCGCGCACTCGTAATTGCTTCCACCGCGACCAAGAAAAATTAAGGCTGAGGAAATGCTCGAAATTTACGCGTTCGCAAAATGGAAACGATTATCGCGGTCGTGGCAGACATACTATGAATTGCGAAATAATATTTACATAAATCGCAAATCGTGCGAATAATTTAAATGTATTGCATTACGTCGCCTCGTTCTGTCTTTGGAATTCGTTTAACGAAAGGCACACGAAGTAACGAGACAGAAAAATTATGGCACGTTTAAATGTCACTAGTTTCATGCAGAGAAAGAGTTTCAAATGTCGGGCGGGATATTTATAACGCTAAATTAGAATCCGCGGGTCTTTCAATAGACACTGTTTATTATCAGATGATTGTTTTTTTTAATCAAATGTTTATTATCTTATGCCAATAGACACTGTTTATTATCAGATGATTTATTTCATTTTAAGCGCGTTCAGTTGTCATCACAGTGCACGCACGCACGCACGAACTCACTTTAGAATTCCTCGAGAATGTATTTACACATTTCAAACGTACGAATTACATTTCTTTTTTTTCCTTCTTTCTTTCTTTGGTGGTGATTTCAATTTCAATTTTATTCTCGACTTGCGTTCGCGAGAGTTCTTGAAATTTTAATTTGAAATTTTGATCGAGTTTTCGAGTTCTTGAAATCTTAATAGCGTCTCGACGTTGACGAGGTATTTTCCGCGATTGTTTCATTGCATTCTGTACGCAGTCCTTACCACGAGACCGGTAGTTCTGTTCTGGTGGCCAGACCGCAACTGGAAGTGCCGGCGATGATAATCGTTTCATTAAGCCCATACTTCCACTTACGTTGCCGACTATCTAGTTGACAAACGAAACAGCTGTCGTTATTTATAATCGCCATGTATCCGACGAAAATTCGAACAACTTCTTAGGTACATATTAATTACGCTGGAGAATTGACACTGTAAGAGACAGTGACAAAATCCTCCTCTTTCGTCAAACAAATTTCATTTTTACAGAACGAGGAATGAAAATTTTCGTTACTCGGTGAAGAATAAATAGTAAAGCATTTAACAATTTTTTTTCTTCAGTTTGAACGTATTTCTAATAAATTATTGTATCACGTATTTCTAATAATTATATTATAATATTATATATTATTCTATCTAGTAAATTATTGTATCAAAATTGTTCACAAAGAACGGTTTTTACGGTACAATTACGTAAAACACTCTGCCTGTTTTCCGCTCTCTGAGTAGAAAGGGAAGTGTGATTTTAAGCCGGTCATCGAAACCGCTACTGTTATCAGCGTTGCTGATAGCGCAACCGATGTAGTGTATCGCATACTCAGCTAGAATTTTAAATGCTCGCTGGGTGTGCAGTAGTCGTTCACCTGATCGGTTCAATAACCCTTTCCTTAACAAAACAAAAAAAAAAAAGAAAAAAAGGAAAGGAAAAACTGCTTCGTGCTCACGAGAGACGCAGATGATAGGTATAAAATATCCTTTATAAAGCAAGTGATTAAAATAACCGTGGCCGACGAATACAAAAGTTCTCGACGAATAGTTTTCCCATCGTTTTAACGTCCATTTGATCGGAAAACACGTTTCACGATCGTGGAAAGCAGAATTATCTCCGACTGGGAACGTTCAAGCTTTTCTAGCAGATAAATTTTATTTTCACAAAAGTCTCGTTTCAATCTCAGTTTGACTCACAATCAGTCGGACTGATCAGATCCAAGTCCTTCAATCACGAATATGTTTTTCCAAACGTAACGCCTAAATATCCGAGTTCGAATCACATACGATTTCGAGTCCTCGAAAATTTACGATCTGCGAGATTCACAGAGTCTTTCAACTTCAAAATTAATCGTCGCTGATAAGTGAACCGAACAGCGTGAATCGGAGCGCGTTTGATCGATTTCATTGTCGCGTCCACAAGATACGGTCGCCATAGGAACGAGAAACATTTATGGTCGACATAGCGGCAAAAGTCACCGCGTATTTTCACGTGGCGAAGATTATGCCTTGCGGTTCGTGGCAAATTGCGACGCGTTCACGACTCTGTTGAGCCGCCTATGGTAATCCGAAAATGATCGAAACCCCGTGCATGTGCAAAGAGAAGAAGGAGGATGGGAACGGAGAGGAGATTTCTTTCGGTCCTCGCACCGACGACACTTACCGAACCTGTAATCTCCCGACACGATTTATGTATCCACGTAAGTCTGTATAATTTAGTAACGTGACGTATTCTCGTACTAAACGAGTCCTGATTGGTCCTCGACGCTTATCTCATTTTTTCAAAAAGGAAACGCTCCCTTCGAATATTTCCGTGGAGCTTGAATCGGCTCGCTGATCGATCTCGCGAAAACAACTCGCGTTTTCGCGGTAGGAGTTGGTCGTGCTAAAACGATAACGCTCCGCTATTAATAAGTCAATATTGACGACCGGCACGTTCGTCGAAGCTTATCGGTAATGCAGACATTCTTGCACGTATCGCAGGAACATTTCGATGGATCTCGCTTGAATTGAACGCGATTCCGCGTTACTTCGTGCATGCATCCCTCGTTAAGAGATTATTTCGTCTCGCAATAAGAAAAAAAATAAAATAAAATAAAATAAAATAAAAGGAAGAAAAAAAGATAAATTCAAGCGCATCGAAATATTCTCCAGTTCAAAGAGCTGTGTTTCTCAGATACATACATTTATTCCATTTTGCAAGAATGCGTATCCGACGTGTGTTCCTAAAAAGGCTCGCTTTGATTTTTCCATTTGATACGTTCGTCTGCGATGCGAGCATTCATCACGGGGAAAACACCGTGAAACGCCACACGTTCCAATTTCCATCGCGTGTCGCGGTATCTCGCGGTATTCAACTTCGTGTTTCTCGCATAATCGCGAAACGATCCCGCGAGTGAAATAACCGCGCCCCCTCGCGAGAAACCTCGAATCGCGAGATTGCGGCGCACGGTGAATGAACGTGCCCTTTGAAATCCGAGCCGACGCTTCCAGAACAATGACAAAGAACAGTTTTCATGCGCGTATTACGGGGAAACGAGCGCATCGATCAAAATACGAGGCGAGGAAACTGCTTATCTCCCTGGAAAACTCCGTGGAAATTATGAATTTTAATAACCGCTACGGGGAAAACAGTTACTTTGGAGCTTGGCGCGAGACCGCCGATATTCGGTAAAATTGAATTTCAATATGAAACGCCACGGTTGTGCAACGCCACGACGTACATACGTGTCAGCTGTGTACGAACACACAGAGCCGGCTCTGTTGAGGGCGAGCCAGCCCGCACCGTGTTTAAAATGAATAAAACATCCAATTTCCGCGGAACTGGACCTCATCGAGTCGAGTTATACCGTACGCGGTATAGCTGATATTATATTTGTCGAACGATATCTGACGAACGGTAACCCTCCAGTTGCACATCGAGAACGCAGTGCTGACTCTGGTGTGTTCAGTGCGCGTCCAGCATCTGAGCACACCATGCGCTTCCTCTTGCTCGTTTATCTCGTCTTATCGGTCCCCGCTCGAGACGTTAACGCGGAGGAAGTGGACTGCCAGGTTTACAACCATCTTTACGTCTGCCTGGCCAACGGCGTGCTGCACAGCGTCGCGTTCGAGGATGTCAACGCGGTTCAAACGATCGAGGACATAGAGCTGCATCTGGAGGGCCTCGGGATCGTCGACATAGCCAAGGACGCTTTTCTCGAAGTCAGCAACTCGTCCGCCTTGTACATTCGTGACAACCAGTTGTCCACGATTTCCAGACAGTATTTCACCGATCTGGACCAGCTGACGTATCTGGACCTGAAGAACAACAGCATCGCCGAGATAGAGGACGGCGCGTTCGCTAAATTGCGCAGCCTGGAAACGTTGCTACTCGACTGCAACAACATCACCGTGTTCCGTGCTGGAATGTGGAAAGGTCTCGCCGATCTCCGCGAATTGTACGCTACCAACAACAACGTCGTCTTGAGGAGGAACGTGTTCAGGGGTCTCAGGTACCTGGAAACTTTGGCGCTGGACTGCAACGAGATCACAGAGGTGCCGATCGGGACGTTCAACGGGCTACCTCACATCGATCTTCTCTATCTGTCGAGAAACAAAATTTCGTTCATACATCCGGAGGTGTTTCGAGGCCTTGGCGAGGTGAACGAATTAGACCTGGGACGAAACCGACTGAGAGACGTGTCCGGTGGGATCTTTCGACACCTGAAGAACCTAAACTCCCTGTGGCTCAACGGCAACCAGATCGTCACGCTGAAGGCCGACACTTTCGTGGGACTTGACAATTTGTTGCTCCTGTTTTTGAACAGCAACGAGCTACACTTCGTCGACATGTCCGCCTTCGCCAAAATGAGGAACGTCACCATCGATCCGGGCTTTAAGGTTGCCGGGACAACGATGGATGCCATTTGGAAAGTGCAAGGACGATTCCGATGCAACAACGTCGAGTATCAGTTGCCGTACGAGTGCGCAGAGATTGAGTCTCGGGTCTATTGACACAGATTGCAGAGTGAACAATGTCGCTTCGTTATAGAAACGCGGGTCTATATCCATTTACAGCAGTGAAAATGAATTCGAACGTGAAATTGTTATCGATCTCTCTTCTCCCTCTCTTCTCACTCTGTTTCTTACTTTCGTAATCTCACGACACGTCATTCGAGAAATTTTTACTTATTACGGAGAGAGTATCTTTTCGCTGTCCATTCGCAACAGTGGAAAGAATGAATTCGAGTCTTCTTATTGACGATAATTTTTGTAACCATTGACATTGTCGTTCGAGAAATTTTTTTTAGTCATGTACAGTATATAATTCACCAATGATTCATGTATGTATATGTACGTTGACAATGATTTTATGTAAAGTATTGGAAAATATACCTGCCGAGATACAACGACACGTTGCCTGTAATAGACACACGTCTATTTAGCGGTCAAGTGCAAGTTTATCCGATAAAAGTCGTTTTTCCAGGAGTGTTCAAGGGATATCGGCAGGACGAGAGTCCGCTACCGCATCCTTGTTACAGGAGCACGTCGATGGATTACGGATGGTACGCACCGACGATTCACACCGTGCCCACCGCTTATTATCCACGAAATACTTCTTTCAGCGAGAACATGGCGCGCGGCGGGATGTATCGTAATTGCTCTCTCAATACGGGACTGGACAAAAGCGTGGTTTAAATTCCTTGCTCGTTCCTCTTCGATCCTCTGTGAATTTCTTTTCAAATTGTCTGGATCACAGATTTGCTTTGTAAAGGAACGCAAAAAGTAGTTTCATACAATGATGGTGTACAATGTATTTCAATATGGTGTATTCAATAAATGTCGAACGAGTCTTACTTGTGGTTGCTTGTGCTTTCGAAATTGCCGAGATTTATCGTTCGACTTGATCTCGTGAATTTGTCAGTCTTTGTTAAAAAGATAGAAAAAAAAAAGGACGGTGCTGGGTTGCTGAGATTGACAATAGTCAGAAGTATAATATTTTATTTTTTTTTTGCTTTTTTTTCTTTGTTTTTTTTTTCTTTATTGTTACAGTTTTAGCTTTTACGCAGTAATCGTATTTCAACGAGATACCTAGTCGGGCCACGCAGAATTACACGGTGTCCCGAAATCTAGCACGAAATCGAGAGTCGTTTCTCCTCTCTTGCGATCTTGCGATTACTGGCGATTTATTTATCGTTCGCGCGCTTGTTTTTTTTTCTTTTTTTTTTTGGCTAAACGTTCGTCTTCGTTACAGCTTCGCTTTTAGGATTGAGTGATACCAGGGGGTCTGAAAGTTACTCTGCGTTACTCGACTTCGGAAGTAATTATAACATCTTATAACTTCTGAGTGCATGCCATTCGCCCATTACGCTGCTTAATATGATCATCGTAGTGGTAATGTTATAACTTCAACATATATATATATAAATATGTATTTATATATATATATTTATATATTTATAAATGTGTGTACATAACACAATGAGACAGCTCAATTCGTCAAAGACTTGTTAACATTTCAATGTCTTAACAACCATATAACAGACCCTTAAAACGCTTTCGTCAACGTTTCACAGTCCAATATGGCAATAATCTTTTTTTCTTTTTTTTTTCCTTTTTGTCTTTTTGTTTATTTTTATTAGTATGCAATGGATGAATACACGGTTCTAGTCGAAGAAACTCTGTAACGTATGTTCGTATGTTCGTCTGTTGCGGCGGGCCACGTCGAACGTCTCACGAAAACACCATAAAGATATTCCACGTCTGATAGTGCAACGTGAGAAAACGTAACTGGTATATTCGGAAATGCAATCAGAAACACGCGGCAGTTTCTATTCTCTCTCCCGCGTGCTTCGTTCGATTCGTTACTTCTCAGTTGATTCGTGTGAACTCCGTTGAAAAACTTTCCACGAAAATTGCGTCACGCGTCGAAGTTTTTTTTCAACAGCGTTCTCCGGGGAACCGCGTGTCGACGTAAAAATCTTTCTAAATCCGTAAAATCAGTCCTCGATAAGTGCGTCGATCGAAATATCAATCGTCGCCGTCGTCGCAAACAAAGTTCGAGGAATATACATTGAATCGATACGAGATCTACCAGCACTTTCCGTGCTCTCCGTGGGCCACCATTCGAGTCGTCGTCGTTTTACCGACGGTGCACGCGAGGACGCGACCGCGGAGACACTCGATCCCTGATGAAAATTCGATTAAGGCCATAAAATGATCACCGGGCGTCGAGTGTCGGTCGCCGTCGCGAGGAAGACTCCCTTGATGTTCCATAAAACAGCTCGTTACCTATCGACCACCCCGGGTTATCAAACGAATCAGATCCCTCGGTGAAAAGGGGCCGTTTCGCCTCGACCGCTCACGGACTAGCGAATAAAAAAGAAAAAAAAAAAAGAAAAAAGAAAAACCGGTGGAAAACGGGTTTCCATGATATCTGAAGAATATCGAAGCGGAGGAACGATCCTGTTAGCCTTTCGTATTCGTAAGTATCTTTTTCGAGCGTCGAACCAACGGGTAGGGGGGGATCGGTAACGATCGCTCGACGTGCGCCCAACACCGATAATCTTTACACACGATGCTCTCGATTATTATCTATACACAAATCTATACATTGTACTACTTGTTCTCTTCCCTCCCGATTCTTATTTCCTCAGTGTGCTGCGCTTACGTGTACGTACGCTTACATTTGGATTAGAGCTACCCCCAAAATTTATTTGTTCGGTGAATGAATCCTTAACAGCTAAAACGATGACAGATAGAACTCGCATTTTTACTCGCATTTAATATAATGTTCCTTATAGCATCTCTTCCTTTTCCCCTTTGTTTAACTTGGCGGTTAGATAAGAAGGTAATAAATGATATCGTACGATCGTGGAATTGGTAATTTAAACGTAGCTCGATACGAGCGCCGCGGGCGCCGCGATCGACTGACCGCTCGACTTCGCCGTGTTTCGTTGTCCACTCGGTGTCTTACAATCAGCACGCTTGGGACGCGGTCTTGACTATAAGCACGGAGGAAAATGAGCGAGCGAACGCGATCGACGACGGGGCGCGAGACCGCGAATCTGCGCGCGCGCGATCCAACGATCGAACTCGATCGCCGAGTGAAGCGACGATTCCCTTCGCGAAATAATCGACGAACGAATTCTAGTGACTTCGACGGTTGGATCGCGTGCGCGCCGCTTCAGGGGGGAAATAGTTCCTCTAAGTGATCACCGCGACGCATCTGGGATACGCGCGCCGCGGAGGAGAACATCGAGATTTAATACTAACTTGCTACTCCCTCTCACGTTCGTCTCGCTCGAGAATGGTAAACGCTTGCAGCGTGTAACTCTCTACTCGTAAATACCTTATATTGTCGTACAATTGATAACCGAGTATCGGCGTAACAGAGGCACGCCCTGCGCTACGCCATGGCTCCGTGTCGACGATTCGAAGCAAATTTAATCGACGACACGAAACGCCAAGCCATTTTTCAGTGAAAATGCGCACACTTACTCGCACGAGCACGTTCCATTTTCATCTTCTTTCTTTCGTTTTCTTTTTCGTAATTGTCTCCGCCTTTTTTTCTTCCGTTTACGACAGCATTCCGACCGATTTACAATTAATTAGACCTTACACCTTACGACGTTTAAACACGTCCCTAGAATAATAGACTGATTCCTCTGTTGTTCATCTGGCGTGATAAGCTACTAACTGCAGCGTATCTTAATGTTATGTCGTTAGTTAATTACGTGTGTGTGTGTATATATATATATATATATGTATGTATATATAATACGTCGTGTTTATAATATTCGTGTATTGAGAGTACGAGTGTGTTACGTGATTATAATACATGTGACTAGCACTCATTGAAATCAAGGAGGTAACATACGGTTACATATATGAGTCTACCGTACTTCTTTTCAACTAGCCTACGATGATAATCTCACCTTAACGACTGTGTTATTGTTAACGCTATGGCTTTATTACCTTAAGTTCGTTACACAGAGACATTGATTAATCGTTAATTAAAAGGGCGAGCGTTCGCGCGCGATCGAGGCGAGATCCGGAAGCATCGTCGGTGCATCGACCAGCCGGCCAGATTCTACTCGTACGAGAAGGTTGCTTCACAGCATTCATCCCTTCCGCAATTATTCGTTGTAATTAGTCTCGTATAGAGTGTTGGTGTTTCGTTTCGCGACTCACGAAAAGATATGAGCAAGAACAAGGAAGAGAAATCATTGAGGACGAAAGAAACGATTCTATAGTGTTCGATCGTCGTGGTCGAGGCGACGATACTTTATGTAAGTATAGGTAGATTTATAGGTGTTGCAACACGGTGTCGACTGGAAGTCGCGCCGAAAGAAAATCGTTGAAGGAAAGGAGAGCAACGAGGCACTAAATTGGCTGCGAACGCCATGAGCTAAAAATCGCGACAGGATTACCGCCTCGATTCCTCGCGTCGAACGCTCGATACGCTATTCCTCGATACTCGGCGAGATGATTAGAATTGTCACTTACCGTACTCTAAGCGTGTATAACCTAGGCTCTTACGATCGAGTACGTTTCGAGGCTTCGTCGCACGGTGTTTCCAACGCGCGAGATTAGACACACAGTACCGTGAAAGAAGCAACGAAACGACGATGGTAACGCAGAATCACACCACTACGGCATTATCATCGAGCCTGGTTCGTCTTCCTTTCTCTTTCTATATTTTTCTTTTTATTTTTATTTTTTTTTTTTCGTTTTTATTACTTTTTCTGCTGGAACTTACTTTATACGATGTCGTTACACAAGGCATCTAAATTAGTTCCTTTCGACCTTAGAAAGTATCTCTATGAATTGGTAAATCTTAACCAACAACAGTATTGTACGGTGACGCAAGGATCCTAAGTAAGATTAGCTTAATCGCTAACGTTATTACTTCCGGCAAGAAGGAAACTGAGACTGGATGACGAAAATTCAGCGCGAAAGAGCACCGCTATTCTTTTTTTTTTTCATTTTTCTTTTTTTTTTTTTTTAAATAAGACTTGAATTTATGAAAACGGTGCGAATCTTCGTACGGAAACAGAGGATCTATCAAAGGATCTACCAAGTTTTATTAGCTGACACGTGGCTACTACGAAATCAAACGCGACGTGAATACGTAAACACGATCGAAACTAATGGAGAGGTGTTGTAACAAGGCTGCTCACTACATCACACGGGCACTAGAACAAATTACAAAGTCGTCGATCAATGATTCTTCACACGATCAAGCAACGTGAAATGCCTAACGATAAATGTTTGCTTTCTGTTTGGTTTCTATTTGGTGTTCTGTTTGACTTGATCATCTACTCGATCCTAACGAGTGACTAATTGTTTGAGAAATTATGCTTCCGCAAGAGCGTAAAAGAGAAAGGAAACGTTAAATAGTGATTAAACGAAACTAATTGTAAGTGTAAATTCGTTACACAGAAATGCTCGTTAATATCAAGAAAACGATCGACATGCTTGTAAAAATTGAATCTGCAAATATTCGATACAAAAAAAAAAAAAAAAAAAAAAAAAAAAAAAAAAGAAAAACGCTCGTAGAAGAAAAGAGTAACGAGTTGCGTAAATATACTCTCTCGGATAGTGTATTCGTGCAGATGATCAGTTTCGCGGACTTTCGTGTGTTTCCGCGTGTTCTCTGCCCCTAAATGGATAATCGCTACGATTTCTCCGAAGAAGCGTGCTTTGCTAAGTGACTAGTCGTCGTAGGTATCGAAGTCAATGCCGTTAATTCGTCTAGGCTGCAACAAACACTTTTTGAACCCAACTGCCTCCTCTATGTCGTCTGTTTTTTCTATCCTACCTAGTGCTTAAACTTGCACCCCTGAGATATTCGTTATACCTTTAACAGCGTCTGCGTATCAGTATACGGATTCCGTATCGGATCAAGCGCGTCCATCTTAACGGATCTATCGACCTCTCTATCTGTTTTCGTTTCCTCGCGTCGTCGTGGCGTCAGCTCCGAAAGCGAGTTTCACAGTTTCGCTCAGCGGCTTTCGTTCATCGACGATCGTTTTTTGTACTTCGTTGGGCAACTACAACTTTCTCTCTGTTGTAAAGATTGTCCAGGATTCTTTCTTTTTTTTTTTTCTTTTCGTCTTTCTGTTCCATGTTCTTATCCAGTTACCTCCCTTAAGGTGCTATTTCCTGCAAACGTCAAGTGTAAACTCGACAATTTATTGCTCGCGATATCTATTGCGATTCTGACTTCACTGTCATACGTACGTGCGGGCGAGTTCTCTCAAACTAGGTTAGCGAAATTAGACAGCCTCTGTAACGTCTGTAACCCTAACTCCAAAAGCTTCTGCTCTATTCTCTCGCGGCTCTACGCGCTCTAAACGCTGTTTAAGACTCTACGCGTCGTTCTCTACGTATCATTGCCTTGTCGTATCGATGAAGCTAAACTGTCAACGAAAATCAAAAGCGCACGAGACGCAACGCGAATCTAACTGCACTAAACGGCGAACCATTGGTGTAGGTGAACCGAGGAGAATAAACGACGTAAGCTCGAGCTACCGCGAATATCGACGAACGATAAATGTGCTCGCTTGGTTCGATCGATTGACGTTTCGAGTGACGCTAACGCCTTCGTTCGCTGTTGATCGTACTTTGGACGGTGTACCTGCACTTATCCACGATATCGAGGTGTCTGACGAATAATGATAAGCAGCTCGTTAAAGATGATCATGCGAAAGGTAAAACGGTGCACGCGCTCGGTGTATAAAAAGTACAAACAACATAGAGAGGAAGAGAGAGAGAGAGAGAGAGAGAGAAATAGAGAAAGAGAAATAGAAAGAGAAAGAGAGAGATGCGCATGGTTAAGTGCATAGTGAAAATTGTACGTCGAAACGCACTTTGGCTGCTCCGAATGGATAAGAAACGTGACAAGAAGGACACTTAAGTATCAAGGCACATCAAAAATCAAACCATCGGACATCTATTACTTCGAAAATTAACTCTGGTAGCCGTGGGTACCGTTCAATTCATATACCGTGTACCTTACTTTTCAACGGATAACTAACGATACTGATTTAAACCTAGATACACATACCGAGAATATCGATCAATTAGTTGTGCAATAGAGGATGGACTAGGTTCACGTCTCTGCGTTCGCGTATCCTTTCCTTCACATTCCTAAAAATTCAACATCGACAGAAGCAAAGGTGAATATAACCAAGACCTAATAAAGGAGGCGACATACGTTCCTTTTACGCGTCCTACGCGTCTCCCTTGCTATATTCTTGCGACTGACAAAGGTTTAAGTTAAAATCGATATTTCGATAAAAAGCAATCGTTCCGTAATCGTAATATAAAATCAAGGTAGAACAGAGTGTGAAACGAACGAACTTATTTCTGTTTCTTTCAAAGCTGACACCACGAGCTGTCTGCCCTTCGCCGCCAATACGTTTATCAGCCCTTATTCTAAGGTAAATTGAGATCATTTGGATAAAGACGTTTCGTTCTCTATTCTCGTTCTTTTCTTCTTTTTCTTTTTTTTTTTTTTCTTTTCTTTCGTCGATCGGTTCTTTTCACTTCGTAGATTCGAATCGTTATTCACCAGCGAGTACTGAATCAAAGGAGTTTCGATGAAATAAAGTTAAATTACAGGGTAAACGAACACGAGTATATCTGCAGATCATCAAGTGTTTGCTTGGTGTGCTTCGGATTTTTGCACGATCGCAAGAAATCACGATTTACTGAATGCCCATGTGTTTCTTTCTGTTTTTTTTTTTCTTCTTCTTCTTTGCCTTAATAATCATTTCCTCGCGGCAACTAGCGGCCGCTACCCTCTCGCTTCCCCGTTCCTAGTTCACGAACCCGTTTTTTTATATTTTTTTTATTACATTTTGATTTCATCGGTAATTGTTCTTAAAGCCTACGGAGCAACGAACGTATCTCTTTTTTCGTGAATTTTCAGCAAGCGTGCCGAGTAGTCGCCTCGCGCAAGCTCCCTCCCATTCGCCTCTTTACAAATCACCTGCAACATCGCGTGAAAATTTAGGAAAAAGAAGCAGTTCGTTATCGGAATGCTGGACAGTTTTCAACATCGAGATGCTCGGCCACTATTCGAGACGATAAATTTTGACAAATCCAAATCGAAAGGTCGCCGGCCGAGGAAATTACATTTTTTTTGCAGGCCGAAACGTGTTCATTGTTCAAGATCAAGGCCGGACGACTCGGCAGAAGAATTTTTTTTTTCTCTCACTCTCGCAAGTCCCGTTCATTTAGTCCAAACGTTTGCGTTGCTCACATGCACGATGTCAAAGTACTGCCCGTATTTTTTTTTTTTTTTTTCGATATCTTAATGACTATTTGTGCGCTTAAGATACAGACTCGTCGATCGTTTGGTTCTTCCATGGCCTGACAATCGAGTGCCAGGGCGATCGATCCGAAGTCTTCTCTAGCCAAATGTTCAGTATAATGCCCGAATCTCCTCTTTTTTTGTTTTCCTCAATCATTTTGAATGACGTCGGCTTACAAATACTTTTTAACAATTTTACAAATATGTATTTTACTGCAGGACTTTCATCACCCATTTAAATTTATAACTCGTCGTTTCTTCCATTCTTTCTTTCTGTATTTTTTTTTTTCCCAGCTTTCTCTACCTCGCATCATTCCCGTTTCCCTCGCCGTTAGACAATGCTATAATCGAAAGTTAAGCCTAAAAAGTGGACGCCTGAAGTAAAGTCGGATGAGGAGATGACAGGGGCCTATGGTACTGTTGCCTGTTGGAATCGAAAAACCAAGTGGCGGCGTTCCCCGTAAACGAGACGAGTATGCAGAACGGATACGTCGATGGTAACGAAACATAACCGGACACTTGGAAAAGCATTCTTCGTTTTCTTCGACTATTTCTTTTAACCTGAGAGAATCTCTTTTTTTTCCCTAGCCACTATGTAAATGCTGAATACATCGAATACATAGAATCTACATTACGATTTTTTTACTTTTTTTACGTTTTTTTTTTTTTTCTTTTACCTTTTAATATACATAAACGACCACGACTTTAAACTTTCTCCCGGATTAATTTCTTTTTGCTCACCCTCCCCTTATCGAAAACACGTAGTTAACATTTGTGTAGCAACCGATGCGTCAAACACGTGGAGTATCGATTAACAATTAAGTACGGAATAATTAGCAAACGTAGTTACCAAGAATTCTAGAAGAACAAGCTTCGAAAGAATCTTCTTCGTCGAATGACCGAGCAAGCAACTGACAACTAAATCTGCTAGAAACGAGATGTTATGTTAAGTTATGTTTATGTTTTATACACATCGCCGTGGACCGTTAGCAAAATTTACATCGTTATATGGCGTCCCATTGTAGGACACGAGCGTTGTTTAGACGAGCTTGATGATCTGCAAATATATCGACGTTCAGTTTCCTTTTCAATCCATTTTCATACCCGACAAATTAATCAAAATACGTCGTCCGAGCGTTTTTTTTTTTTTTTTTTTTTTTTTTTTGAAGAAATCCCATTTTGTTGCAAAATTATTCACATACCGTTACTAATGACAAGGAAACAATACGAAGAAAAATACGATCTTTCGCCAAAGATGTTCTAAGCAATCCATCTTCGTCTCGGGTACAGTTTTCTTAGTAACTCAGATTTGACAACAATCGTAAGACGATCTCCTTTGCTCCAGTACACAACCTTCGCGTTTCGAGAAATTTACATATCTCCAAAGATCCCTGCAAACGTTTTCCGAAGATTCTTCATGGTGTCTTCGGTGTCTTCGCTCTGGGACTGGCTACCTTGTCTGTGGAAAGGTATTCTCGACGTTGGAGTCTCTTCTTGACGTCGACCAACCGACGGAGCGCTGCTCACTGTACTTGACTGCGATGCTGCAAACGAGCAAATAACAGTTGAGACGTCGAAACACTTGTTTATTTTAATTACGTTAGATCGTACAGAGTCGCGACAGAGTCTCTGCGAACCTTGTGAATCGCGTCGTTGCAATTGATGATGGCTGTCAGAGCTGGTTACGTCGGCCGTCATTGCTGTCGCCGAGCCCGCGGAACCTAAACTTCCTATGCTAGCCATGGATCCCATGCTCCCATGAGATCCCAGCGGAGCAGCTGGTGGCACACTACGGTCTTCTACCGGGCTCGTTGCCTGACTCGAGCCAGACATCGATCCTCTCGATGTTGTTTTCGTCAACACGCTCGGAGGTCGACAACATACCTGGGCATTTGGAAAAGTATGAGAAGAGGATTAGTTACGCAATGTTATCGCATGTTCGCGATAGAGAATTTATGGTCTTCAAGTGACTCGAGCCTCGAGTTTTAAGTCGCCAGCAACTACTCGATCGTCTGGCCGATCTTTGTTCAAAAATCTACCATGAGCCCCCGATCGTGCCATAAATCAAGGCACCCGCTTGCCCAAATGTCGAACAAACGTCGTTTCGATCACATTCGTACCTGCATCTTCGCGGTGACGAGGTCCGCAATATGACGGCGATCCTCCTCCTGCGAGTCTCCCATCAACGACAACGCGCTATCGTTCACCTCGATTATGTATTCCCGGCCATCCTTCCCGACCAGCAGCTCGATCGCGCAGATATCCAATCCACCGAACAATTGGGCCACGTGATCAACCCAGGTGCGATGTCTTTCGCTCACGGCTAATTGCTCCAACATCGCCGAACCGGTGTTAGACTTCCAGTTTCCGCTTATGCTCTTCCGCCTGAGAGGAACGTTGGCGACCGTGGTCGTTAATTAATCGCCCTGCTATTCTCGTCGCGATTGTCTCACGTCGGCTGACTCTCGGCTCGATAAGGAGGCGGACGAATTAACGTTTCGATCGTTCCGTGATGATATATATATATATATTTAGAAAGGTGGGACACGGCAAACTTCTTGATCTTATTTCAAGAATCGAATGACAACGTACAAGAGAGATTCTGCATTGTTCTCTGAGTCATGCCACATTACCATGAGTATACACACGTACATATACGCATACTGATTGTCTGAGTCGGGTAGAATGATTGAGAAAAAAAAAAAAAAAAAATAGATGTGTCTGAAAGGATCCTGTCGATCGTTACATAACTCACCGTTTCACCTTACCAGCCGAGAGTTCAGCTACGCGGTTCTAATTCCCATTTTTCTAACGAGACCACGATGGGAAAACCAATGACAAGCTACTCGGTAACATTTGCGACAACGACAGATCGCGAGGCATCGATCTGGCAGACATCTCGCGACACTCACATGAACGCCTTGTAGTTATTGCCTATTTTCTGCACGTGAACGTCGTACTTGGTGTCGACGTACGGCTCCGCTGTGCAGTAAGTGTTGGCCAGAGCGGCCAAAGAGGCGAGATCCAGAAACTCTTGATTCGTCTCGGCACGAGCTTTTCCCACTCCACTGTGGGCGTGTCCGAGTTTCACCACGACCGGGTAGCGAGCTGCACTCACCTGAAAAAAGAAAGAAAAAAAAAATGTGTATAAAAGTGAAAACGATCATATCGTTTTCAGAAAAGTAAAAGGATCAACGGACACAGGCGTGTTCGATCGCGAGTCGAATCGTCTCGTGGCTAAGTTACCGAACGACCGGTCGCATAACGATGACTCTCTGGGACGTTGAACCACGTTGAACATTTTGCCAGTCCTAGAGTATATATTCGACGCTTCTCGACGCGTTTGCAACGCGGTGCCAAGGTTCTTCTCTGCGCGGAGAATCGATTAACAATGCACGCGTATTCTACATTCCGGCGTAATCCGACGGAAAACCAGTCGGATGGTACGCCTACGGCGATATCTCCGACTTGTCTTCGATAATCGAATACATTAACCGACATCTATGGATGAAGATCAAAGTCAGCCGATACGCAGGCGGTTGATTAAACAGTCTGTGATATTTCGCGTGGGTCGGAGGAGATTATTAAACGATGACGCCGCGTGTTCGTTGCATCCGTCAGCCGATTCGTTCCGAACGATTTTCCAGAATCGTGAAACGTGCACTCTGGAGATTGAATTTTCTACACGTGAATTAGCGAAGTGCATCGAGCAGGCTAAGAATTATTCGCGATGCGAAACGGATGTGCTCGCATCGAGGACGAGAACGCTGAAACAGTTTCTTTGAACTGTAAAGACGTCAGAAGTTTGAAAACCGTAGCCTGTAGCTTGTCGTTTCTCTCGTAACTGGTGAATCGTTCCAAGCTCACGATCTTCGGAGCGGCGAGTTTCACCCGGTTCCACTTCGGTAATCGAGTTGGGGAAAAAGGGCGAAGGCAGCGTAAAATGTGAACGCTCTCTCCCGGTTATCCCGTTAGCGCAGATAACCAAGGAATTCCTCGTTAATAGAAACAAATCGGAGCCAATCCGGCTTAAGTGGATAATTCCATTTAAATTGAACCTTAATCTCCTTCGTCCTTCTCTTTCTCGGAACCTAGGACAAATTGAGGAACGTCAATCGATCGTTCGATGCAGTCCGTTTTCCACAGAACTGCTAGTTATAGTATGTTAGATTACTATGTAGTATATAGTATATATGTAGACTATAGTATAGTATGTTAGACTACGTCCGATCAATTACTTCTCATGAATCTCTCTCGCGTTTTAGTTTCTCTCGAAACGTAAAACAAATTAAAGAACTTTAGCTTTTAACACTATTCCCAACGAATCTCTCCTTACAACGTTCAAGTATCTATCACGATACGAAATTTCTGAATTTTTATATCTATCCGTTTTGATCCTCTTCTCGGGTGATCAAGGGCTATCGATCGATCGTTCAGTATGCTCTGTCTCTCGCACACGTTCACTTGGTGTTAATACCTTCTCGAGACTTGAGAACAAAATTGTGAAACGCAAATCGATGATCGTTCACCCTCTATAGAACCGCTTTAATAGTAAAGCGCGCGGCTGTGCAGAAAGCTTAATGACGAGGCTGTTTACAAAGCGCGTCGACGTGGAAAAAGGAAGTGATTGTTGAACGAATCGTCTCATGGGCGCACGTCCGGCCACCACTGACTGGCCCCGCTGATTCTCCGATGGATAGTGCTCAAACCGTATCGTATCCACGTGTTTATGCCGGCACGTGGGTGTCGCAAAAGTGGCTTTCTGAGCACCGCTGGACGCGTGTCCGTTCCCCCGCGTGGCACGAACACCAACGACGGGGATCAACGGCGAGGGACACGGAGATAAATCATTTATCGTGCTCGAGGGGACTTTCGAGGACTCTGAGGGCAGACATACGCAGGGGTGTCGCCTTCAATTTTGTTCGCCGTACTTGAGCGCACTAAAAATAATGCGTCGTTCGCATTCGCGAAACCGACGTTTACATCTATGGCCAACAACACGCTTTTCAGCGATAATCCAGCTTTATTTAGAAAATCGCAACCATGCTTGGTAATGTTTGGTCTGCCGACGTTTCAAATTCGAAAATTTTTCAAACCAAAACTTACGTACTTTTTCTAACGAGACTGAAGAAAGTCGTAGTTTTACTTTTCTTCGTTCGATTAAAAATATTTAACAGCAGTCTTTAACGAATTTAAAAGATTAAAAGTGCAGAGAGTTTCGAATATTTCGCGCGGGTTCTAGACTCGTCTACTGCCGACGGTGTTAAAAATTAGAAAATTTTTTGCATTAAATTACGTATTCTCTAAAGTCAATTAAAATGTCTCGTTTATCATTTATCGAAACTGAAAAACGTCGAGATTCTGCTTCTTCGTTCAATTAAAAATATTGAATAACGATCTATCGAATGATAGCGTAATTTTATTTAGAAGGTACGAGATTGGGAACAGAAAGAAAAAAAAAAATGCTGTCACAGAAGACGATTTTACATATTACACCATAAAAACCACCGAAATCTGCGTTCCAGCGTACGGACATCACATAAAACGTGTAAAATCGCCCAATTAATCGCGTCTAGGGAAAAGAAACACAGGCTATCGAGTCTACGTGAATTACTACGTTTATCGAGCGAATAAACATTACGAGCATATATTACCAATCTCTGTTTACCAAGCAGGCTATAACAGGGCTTTTCGGATGCTAATAGAACCGATCTGCTCCACGTTCGCGTTCCAAAATACGTTGCTGGCCCATCGTGTTCCCGTGACGGGAACTATAGAAAAAAAGAAAAAAAAAGAAAAAGGCCGGCGGACGTATTAAATGATAGTAATCGTGGATGAAACGGTGACGAGTGGAACCTCCGCGCGAGCGCGTTTCGGTGAACGTTGAGCGAAACTTGAGGTCGCGAGGAGGGAAAAGGAAGGCGAACGGCCCAAGAAAAATGCAAGCAGATCGACGAAGCTCAAAATGACAGAAAGAGAGAAGAAGAAAGCGAGAGAGAGAGAGAGAAAGAGGTAGACGAAGCACCGGTGAAACGGAGGGAAGGGACTTCGATCCAGTGAAAGAGAGAAAGAGAAAGAGGACTGTGGGTGGCCGGCAGGAGACGCAAAGCGAGCAAGGTATATGTCGAGACAAAGTGGGGGATGAGAAGGTTGGAAGGGGGGGAAACTCGAATGGAAGGGGAAGTTACGGTTGCGAACAGGGGGCGAGAGAGGAACGATAATGAAAATGCGGGACGGAGATGCAGGCAAGAAGCGACGACAGTTGAAGAGAGAAAGGTAAAGAGGAGCGAGCAAGGACACGAGGAATGTAGACGAGGAAGGTAACGAGAGAAAACAAGAGGGATAAACGGAAGAAATGAACGAAGGGGCGGGAAGCGGAATGAATAGGTATGAAAAAAAAGATGATCGAGTTCCGAAAGAGAGAAGAGGAGCGTAACGCTCGCTGAAACGAGCAAAGTTTTTCAACGGGGTGGGAGAGAACGAGAGAGAACGGTAAAAGTGAGAAATGGGGATAGAGACGGAGAACAGGTATGATCGAGCGGGAACGAGAAGGATAGAGGAGAGTAGGAGAAAGAGTAAGAGAGAGAGAGAGAGAGAGAGAGAGTGAGAGTGAGAGAGAGGTGGAACGGAGAATCGGAAGGGAGACAGAAACAGCAGCGCGAGATCGACGTAAGAACGTAGGAAGGAACGAGAGGCTCCCGTGTCGTTGGCGCTTGCATTGCTTTTCGAAGCTCGCGCGCGAACGGTCCCCGGCTCTTGTACGTGCGCGCCGATCAATAAACACACGTGAAAATCCAGTCGGTTCTCGTTCACGGCCGACGCTGCATCGGCTGATACAGTTAGTTCCAGATCGTTGATTTGTCCAAGGTACATTTCCGCTTGTTGCGTTTCGTAGATTCGCGCTCGATCGATTTCCGCAAACGAGGTAAAAGAAAAAAAAGAAGAAGAAGAAGAAGAAGAAGAAGAAGAAGAAGAAGAAGAAGAACCGTAGTGCACGTGATTCGAATCGCGCCGGAACTTGCCGGCTCAACGAGATCTATCGGCTACGTCGACCCGTCTCGACGAACTACGGCGCAACGGTTCGCAGTTTCGAAGAATGATTGCACGTCTTTGAGGTCAAGGAGAATAACGGAGAGAAAGGTAGAGTGCAAGTAAATACGTACACCGAGGCAAGGAAAGCCGAAGCGGAAGGATCTCTGCGCAGGGTCACGAGTCACGAAGAAAGGTATCCGTGCACCGCGAGTGCGATTTTCACATTGTACGTACTTGAATACGTTTCCGTATTTCTCCTCTAGTCGCGTATTTGACCGCACGCGTCTCTCTACTTGTCTCTTATGTCACACTGTTTCTCTACTTGCAACTTTTTCTACTTGCTCTCCGTTTAATAATATTATCTCACCAACGACTTGTATTTCAGACTTTTCGTTATATATTCATCTCTCGTCCTTCCGATCGTCGTCAATCAATAATTTTTTGAAAAAAAAGACATTCGATGATTCGATACGGACATAGTGGTAACGCATATTCGTGAATAAGTGGATGCACTTTGAGTTCATTCGGACTCAAGTCATACATTTGACGCTTAATCGTACTAGTAATCAAAACGATGACATCAGACTCGCTCACGATCCAAAATAAACGTTGTTAATCAAGCACTGAGGAAACGCAGAATCGCTTTTTTTACGTCTCTCTCTCTCTCTCTCTCTCTCTCTCTTCTAATCTCAAAGTGTACGCGATCGATTTATCCAAGTAGATCAACAGTCGTTCCAAACAGCCGTGTCTGTGCTTTATGCGCTTCTAGCGGCGGATTTAGCGTAGGAATTACGCGTCGTTTCGAGACTGTTGCTAAATACCGGGAATCTTGCAGTTGTATAAATAAAGCGATAAATCTAAACGACAACGCGAAGACGGGGCAGAATCGTTTGAACTGTCTCTAAGACCGTGTCATATGAAACTTACGCGAAGACGGACATTCCAAGTGCGAACGCCGCGGCTGAAACGCGAGAATCCACGCGAGTCGCGAAAATAATAGAGACGTGGACGTTCACGGTCGTTTCATTATGTTAATCCAATCGAGGAACACCTATTATACCCTGCTATTCGTGTAGTTGTTGGATGACCAACCCGGACAATATTGATTCTATGCAAATACTGACAATGAGCTAGCAACAGTCCACATAAAAGTGGACTGTGAATAGTTAATCATTTATGCTCCTTTCCCTTCCACTTGACGATGATAACCAAATATATATAAGGACACATGCTTCAGAGACATTCAATAGCATAAGACATTCTAAATCATTAAGAGCATTGGACATTCATCATATTCTAAGACATTCTAAATCATTGTAAATCATTCTATGTCATTCTATTTCATGCACGAGCACGACTGTAAGGGAACAAACTCTTCTAAATTATAAGCGTGTTGACTCCATTACACGGAGTCCAACATAGTTAACAGGTAGAAAAAAAAAATTCAAGTACCTGGCATTTCTCGCTACTAAAGGCAAATGAAACTCCTGCATCTCGTTATATTCTATCATTGTTATGTTATTTAAGCGACAGTCCCCGATATAAATAATTCATGATACTAATTAGTCGAGGTTCGACCTATCGAGATGTCCGCTGTTGACGATCATCGTTTCCCTCTGCTCGCCACTCACTCGATCCTGATAATCGCAAATACCTCTATGATAATACAAATGAAAGAAGTTACTTCAGCCAGCGAACGAGAATTAATTAACTGTAAATTGACACGCATTTAAGATCGTCGTCAAGTACTCTTTCGCTGCTTGCTGAAATACGTAAAAATTTTAATCTTTGCATGCTGAAGATCATTAAAGTTCTAGTATGTGCTCCGCGATACTAGAACAACAGAAATTTCTCGCATGATAAGGAATAGAGAGAAGTATAGAGAACCCGCTGGCTTTGGATTTACTAACAGGACTAATAAACATATAAAAGTAATGTAAGGGGCGCATTCCTGGGCAGAATTGTTAGGCCCATTGCGAATATTACTTTATGGAACTGACCAACCTAATTTAAGCCAAAAATGATCCATTTTTCCAATCACGTGACCGGGAAGGGTACAAAGACAATCGGCCTTGTATAACGAGCCTTAATTTTCCTTTGGTTCTAACGTCGCCTACGAGTATCCTCAGAAATAGTATTTAAAGTTTCTCAAAGTGACAAAATGCTAATAACCAGTTGTTTTTTCCATCGTCAATTGTTGTCAACGCGAAATCGAATTGGAAAAGCACGGCGCCGAGCTTTCGAATGTTATACATTACAATCAGTTGTTGTTATTATAAAGCTTCACATTCACGGTCAGATTCTGCGCGATGAAATTTCCTCGTAAATTGAATATACCTTGCCATCGATTCGATACAGGGCGAAGAATAGCCATTTGCTTATTTATTACTTTGAACATGTGGATCACATCCCGTTAAGTATCCTGTATTGAAATCCTACTTAAATAGCTACTAAATGTTTAATAACTTTATTAAATATCGAATATCTGACGATCTGACTTAACCGGTTGTTAAATACAGATTGCATCTTCCTCGATCGATCGACGAGTCATAGGAAGACACCGTGTATTTCAATAAAGCTCGAGAGAAGTTTCGTTTCTTGTTCGATCGGCGATGTCCGTATAATCGAATTCGATATGCTGTCGGGGAATCGATTCCGATCAGCCGAACGACAGAAAATATGAGAACATGAAACGCGAGTTGGTTGTATCGAGCCGCTCGTACTCAAGGAATGTACCTGCCGGCGTCGAGTTAACGATTGATCCTTTCGCGTGAACCGTTTGTGTACACTCGCGAAGAAACATCATCGGGAACAAAGTTATTACGGTCAGCGATCGAATACGGTATTCGGCGTGTTTGACGCCCGAGTCCTCGATCAAAGTTTTGCATTTTTATCTCTCTTATCCTCTTTATCAATCTCGTCGTAAAATTCACAAGTGATAAGAGCAATTTCCTCGTACGAAACGACGTCACGGAATTGCACAGAGAATTTTTTTATTAATTTATCAGTTTCTGTCTAAAGAACTAGATCCAAGTACTTCGTACACATGGGAAAGTTTGTTTAACCTAATAAAGATAACCTTTTTTAGAATTTTAAAATTCTAAAAGTTCATAATTTTATAAATAAGTTCTTAAGAATCTTCTATTCTTAAGTATTTAAAACATTTCACGCTGACAGACACCGTCATTCTATTCTCAAAAATACTCCATTATAAAGCCAAAAATGTTTAACAAATATTTCCCAATTTATTCGAACTTTCACTTCTCAAGTCTGCCACGTAGAATACCAAGAGTACAAGAATGATTTCGCGGAACGATCGAGAATCGCCGTGGTCGCTGTTCGTCAGACTGAACTGACCGAACGAACTGGAACGCGTTATAAATGCTTTCCGACCTCTCATACACGTCGCGTATTGTGATACGCCGATTAAGAAAGATTGCAAGAGGATGGTATACGTCGATTCGACTCTCGTAAAGGAACGTGCTGCACAGGTCATATCGGCGTGTGTGATATTACGTTTATTACTCCGATACACTGCGGAGAGGACCGGAGTGGCGCCAACCAGCCGGTCTCCGCTCATGTGTCTATAATACACACGCGTTTCTGTAGAAACGTGTACGAAGGCCCTCGTATTCGCATGGTCACATATCTACCTTCGCTCTACACGCGTTTCATTTTCATTCGAAGAATATATTCGATAGAGATCCATGGATCTGGTAGACGTGGTGTATCTCGTATGTGCCAACAGATTAGACCAGCGAGTCGAATATTTATAGCAGAACGTTCTCATGATCGCACACGCGCCGTCCGACGACGGTATGTATATACACAGGATAGGGCAACACAACGCGTGTGTACACTGTTGCGTTTCGATAACGCCGCGGGAGTTTCGCGATTCATTCTTCTTCCTCCTTCTGGTATTTTTTTCCCCTTTTTTTTCTTCTTTTATCTCGTGGCAGACGCAGAGATAGCGCAATCTGGGAATCTGGACAATAAATCCTAAACTTCCAAGATCAAACGTACCACGGACATTATCATGTCCAGGAATTGTCATGTCTCGGAGTTATTGGCAATTTTCTCGTTATTTATGCCTGTCTCGCGATCCTGATTATAGCGTGCGCGATGAACACGCTTTGTTCTTGTGTTCTCGTCTCACGAGTCAACGACGTTTTTAGATTTATTCGTTATTTTAGTCACTGTGTGCTGTTTCACGACCTCATTCCAACCAGTTCCGTGCATTTTCGAGCTACATACATGTATGTCGCGTGATTAACGACGTTTCTCTAGCTTTGGCCATTATCCAATGGGCGCCTCTGGCGCCAGTAATAAATTGGTAATTTCTGCGGGATTTGCTTTTTTCCAAGATATGTACATAATTCCTTCGTCCCTTTTCTTCATCGAATCCAGTAAAATCATCGAGGCAAAGGTCAGTCTGGATCAATGGAACGTAGCGACGTAGTTGTCGTAGTCGTTTCTTTCAATCAATTAAAATTGACGCACTCCGTGTGAACACAGTTGTTGCCAATTGCACCGTTCGAAGACGCGAGACACGGTCTCGTTGTTCGCGCTAACGAGCAACAACGCCGGGACGGACTCTTCAAACGGCAGAGCACAAACTTGCTCTTCTTTTCACCCGGAAACGTCGTACGCCGCTAGATCTCTCACGCAGTAATTATTTCGCTCGCGGTTCAAGAACCTTCGACAATCCACTTGCTGACACAGCAAATGCTCATTAATCGTAACCTGATTCCGTGAATTCGAATAATTTGTACAATTGAACCGTATGAAGCATTCGCTGTAACACAGTTTGTACAGTGTGTAATTTTATCTCGTACTCACTGTGTAATTCTTAAAATGTCCGCGCATGAAAGATAGATAAATATAATGTAATAAATAAAAGATAATTATAAGATAAATATAAATAAATAATTATAATGTGAATATAAAATCTCTATATACAATTTGAACTATATATACATATTGAACATCAAACATTGTATCACAATAAATATCTACTGGTTACAATAATTTTTAAAATATTAATATGAATTATAGATTACAAATCTTACCAAAATAATAAACGTCATTTATACTCCGAAAATATTTCGAACTGTACCTAAATATGATATCATAAAAATTTATTTAATTTATATTTCTCAAAATGCCGGCACGAATCGGTGATCACGAATTTTTATACCACGCGTCAAGTTAATCCCCAAGGACGAA